CCCCCCCCCCACAGAAGACGGGGAGACCCAGCCGGAGGCGGCGAGCGCCGGCCGGCAGCCCGAGAACACACACCATCGGGAATAATAATAACCGGGGTGGGGAATGCAGGCAGCCACCCTGCGGCCAGTGTCACGGAGGCCGAGGCGGTGCGCTCCCGCGAAAATTCCTGAGCAGCCCGCGCTGGCCGCCGCATCTCGGGACGGCCGGGCGAGGAGCTGGCATGCTGCCGCAGCCAGCTCCCCGTCTTATGTCTTATCCACTAATTCTCCCTCCCTTCCTCTCTCTCCCCCGCTCCTAAGTGCCCTAACTCCGGTCCCTTGGCCGCTGTTTTCCACCACCCCTTGCGGTCTTTTCCTGCTCTTTTCTTCGCGGGCCTCTTGTCCGGTGGCTTAGCTCCCCCCCCCCCCCCCCCCCCCTTGAGATGGTTCGTTATTCCGAAGTGATGGACCTCGGTTGTTACGTGCCTTTGTTGGTGCGGGCGCCAGAAATGTTATTCTTGTTCCTCTTCGGCTGTCCCTCCGTTGGTCGGACCGGGCGAGTCTCCGGTCGCACCTTTTTCTCTCGCCCCCCCCCCCCCCTTGCCCCTCTCTCTGCCTTCCTCTCCCTCGGTCTCTTTGCTTCTGCCCGCCACGGGATTGTCCTGCCGGCGGACCTGCAAATGCCGCGACTGAAGTTCCATCTGTCCCCCTCGGGCTGCTGCTGCTGCTGCTGCTGTTGTTGTTGTTGTTGTTGTTGTTTTTTCCCCCTTGCCTGGCACCCAGGACCGGGGGACATTTTTGTGTCGTGCTGGTAGGATCCAGCGCCCTCGCCCGAACACTCGGCCCTGCTTGCCTCCCCTTGCCACGGGGGTGGGTGGGTTGGTGGGGGGGGGGCAGCTGGGCGTACTGAGAGGGACGGTCCCCAGCCCAGGTGCAGATGGGCGATTGTGTGTCCTCATCCCTCCCTCCGCCCCGTTGCAGGGGGCCCACTTTCTCCGGACCAGGAGGGCCGAGAGAGAGAGAGAGAGAGAGAGAGAGAGCGCGAGAGTGGGGGGGGAGAAACACAGCGAGAAAGGGGGGGAAGAATTGCTCGATCATCCCCGCAATTGTCAATATTTTTTTGCCCTCACCCCCTGTCCTTACCCCCCCCGGCGGTTCCCGCCACCGCCAATCCTCTGTCCCTGCTCCCGTCCCTCCGCGTGCTTCTCGCCTTCCCTCTTCTGCCGCCTCCCCTCCCCCCTCCCCACGTCTGCCCGCCCCCCCCCCGCTCCCCTCCCCCCTACACTAGCCGGCAGATCTCGCTCCCGACGGCCCGTGAATGGTCGCCATCCTGACCAACAGGCATATCGCGAGCGCCGCCTCCCGTCAGTAGCATCTGTCGAACGGCCCCTGCATACCTAGATACACACGCGCACACGCGCGCCTGCCTACTCATTCACATAGATTTACAAACGCAGCACCAGCTCCCCTTGGCTTCCTTTGTGAAGCGCCCCCAAAGAGAGCGACAGACAGAGCGAGAGCAAGCAAAAGAGAGAGAGAGAGAGAGCGCGAACAAACGAGAAACACCACACTCGTTTCCCTCCTCTCTAGACGTCCCCTCGACTTGACTTGAAATATGCCCCAAGCAACGTCACAGCCCGGCTACCCCGGGCCGGCTGGCTTCCCGCCGCAGCATCCGCAGCATGCTCACAGTCCGCCAGTGCCGGCCTCGTCCAGCATGCCTGGCACATTTCAGCCCCCCGCCGGCCCTGGCGCCTTGCAATATCACGCATCGGACATGATGCCTGTGCGTCCTCCTGGCGGCCCTCCCCTTGTCTGCCTCCTCCGGGGCTCTTGCCCTCGCTCTTGCCCTCGCTCTTCCTTCCCCCCCCCCCCCGGTGTTTTCCCCTTCCCCTCCTAACACCACCCTCCATCCTTTCCCATCCCAGGAGGTCCACCATGGAGGTGACATGGACTACTTGACCACTGGCGGTGCCTCCTATCACCAGGGCAGCCGGTCAGGCATGCACCACCACCACCACCACCATCCGCAGCAGCAGCAGCAGCAGCCCCCGCTCCATTACCAGCCGTCGCAGCAGCAGCAGCAGCAACAGCCGTCGCAACACCACTACTCGCAATTCCATCAGCAATACCCCTCGCACCATCACCATCCGTTCCGCCCGGCGGACATGCATCACTCCAGCGGTCCGGGAGGGCCTGGCGGCCATGAAATGGGCTCTGCTGCCGAGCAGGGAGTTGCCTATTACTTCCAAGACACCGCGGGCGGTCCCGGCCCTTCCTCACAATTGATGTCCGCCGGTGGATTGGCTCAGGAGGGTTCTTCCCCGGCAACCGGGCCCCTCCCGCCTGCTGGGCAACTGGACGCCAGCGGCTTCCACATCCCCGACACGCTGGTCCGGGAGCGTGCTTTCTCCACCTCGGCCCTGTCATCCATCAATGGTGCGGCCGCTTTCCCGCAGGATGACCAGTCTCCTCCTGGACTTGCTTTTTCCTTTTTATCTTCCCAGGCTGTCTAATGGCTTGCTTTCCCCCCCCCCCCCCCCCTTCCCCCCATCCCACCCAGTCCCCAGCAACACTGGCCAAGCGTCGGGGCTCGGCCAACAGCCACCATCCTTCTTCTCGACCCCTCTGCACTCTACCGATGTGGTTACCCCCCCGCCTGGCCATTCTCAGCTGCCGGTCGGCGGGGCCGGCGCCTCGCCGCTCATGCACAAGCCCGGTGCTGGCGGGGCCGCAACAACCTTCCGCACCCCACCCACCTATGCCTCACTGCACATGGGCCGTGGCACTGGGCCGGGCACCGGGCCCCAGCCCCACCCCCGCCGGTCACAGAGCCCCTTTGCTTCGGGTCTCGGGTCGAATGCCCTGCGCAATCAGCGTAAGGCCCAATCCGAGGTGCGCACAGCCACGAAGAAGAGCGGGGGGGAAAAAAAAAGAGAAAAGAAGAAGGACACACCACCTCCCATGAATGGGTTGCATCAAGCCTCTGACCATTTTGCCCCTCCCTCTCCCTCTCCCTCTCTCTCTCTCTCTATGCATTCTTCCCAACAGAACAATCTCTCTGCCATTGGGCTTGAGGATGCCCGGCAGCAGGCGATGCAGCAGCAGCAGCAGCAACGTGTGGGCCAAACTTCAGGTGCCTTCCCCTCGTACACCAATACCGGCCCCTCCTTCAGTGGCATGGCGCCCAAGGCCCCAACCACGACGGGGCATCATGGGTCGCTTTTGGCCCCGCCGTCAGGACCTGTTCAAAGCAAGGCCCACTCCTCCTCGCCGGACATTTCGCTTCTCTTCAGTCTCTTCTCCGTGCTGGACGAGTCAAATGGCGCCAGTGGGGATTCACATACCGGGCTTGAGGGCGGCCCAGTCGCCATCAGCGGCATTCTCCCCCATCCCGGCGGGGTGCTGCCCTCTTCCAAGCCCTTGCCCTCCTCGGCGGCATCTGGCCCGGGCCAAAGCCAGTCTCTGGACCAGCTTGATGCTTTTGGCGGCGGCCCTGGGGCTGGCGGCAGCGGGTACTTCGCTACTCGACAGTCGCAAAGCCACTTGGCGCGGCATTCGCCGGCCGAGGGAAGCCCATTGCAGGCCCCCCCGGGCGGTGGCTCTTATGGCGGCCCCATTGGAGCCTTTGGCCAATCTTCTTCCCCCTCACCGGCTCCGGGAGCCGGGCATATGACCTCCTCGGCGTCGTCCTTGTCGAACTCCTCCTCCTCTTCGACCACCTCCCTGGCTTTCGCCGGATCTGGCGCTGGCCCGGGATATGATGGCTTCCCGGGCGGGGGATCGGCTCCGACAGTGACCTCCTTCGACTCGATGGCTGGCGGCCATCACCCATACCACCAGTCGCAGGTCCCGACAATGCCATCGTCGCATCCCCCCTTCGAAGGGGAGTATGGCGACTTGGAGGGTGGCCACCCGGGCTCGGGCCCCGGGGCGGTCTTCACCCGTCAGCTGAATGACCCCAGTACGTTCCCTTGGGCTTCCTTTCAGCGGGGCGAATGCATCCGGTGTGGCGTGTGTGCGGCGGTTTTCCCTGTTCCCCTTTCTGTCTCTCCTAACCGCCTTCTGTCCACTCATCCTCCCCTCCCGGGGGCTACGTTTACACTTTCAGAGCGGACCTTCCCCGGAGCTCCTGGCAACCAAACAACGGTCCCAACCGATCCGAGCAGTGCCTTCCCCACTTCTTCTCGGCCGAATCTTCACCGGCGTTACTCCACTTCATACCTACCTTCTTCTTCGGGTGGGGGTGCCCCTTTGGGCCCCATGAACCCCGAGGGGCACTTTGATCAGGGTGGCTTCTTGGCGGGTGGCTCTTCCTCCTCCAACGGCCGGTTGCTGGATCCGGCCTCCGCTCGCCACGCCGCCGGCCGCTCCTACTTCCCGGGGGCCGATTTCCAAACCCAACCGCGCGCCGGGAGCAATGGCTTCCTCCAGACGGGATCCTTCTCGGAACTGAGTCACTCCGATCCGATTGATTCGCAGTATGCGGCGCAGCAGCATTCAGGGCAGCATTATTCCTCGACCGGTGGCGTCGGCTATGCCGGCTTTCCCGACCAGCCCTCGGTCGAGGGTGACTCCAGTGTCCCAGGCTACCATGCGTCGGTCCCCTTTGACTTGGCTGGCGCTGCTCCTCCTGGGGCAGGCCCGCGCCACGTCCCGGCCGGGCAATCGCACTCGGCCAGCCACTCGCCACGGCACTTCCCCTCGAGCGGAGGCATGCACCCCTCTCAGCAGCCGCATCCGCATCATTTCCACGCGCAGCCGCAGTCACAGCCGCAGCAGCAAGCGCCTCATCACCACCAAATGCAGCAGCCAATGTTGCTGCATCCGCAGCAGCAGCAGCAGCAGCAGCAGCAGCAGCCCTTGCATCATGCGCAGTTCCTTTCACATTCCCCGGCCTTTGAAGCATCATCTCTCCTGATGGATGGCCTGACGTCAGCCACTGTCCCTGGACAGCATGAGCTCCTTCCTGCTGGTACGCGTGCTTCTCTCTGTCCCTCCCTCTCCCCCTCGCTCTCTCGGCCTCTTGCTTGCCTCCTCCCTTGCACATACCCACCTGCTGATGCCCTGTCCCCCCGCCCTCGACGTTTCTCTCCTTGTCCCTCTCTCTCTCTCTCTCAGGTGAGGGTGGCCCGGATGGCGGCCCAGACGGTGGCTCCTCCTTCCGCTCCCGTTCGGGCTCCGTGAGCCAGCGTACGTCCCCCCCCCTCCCCCCCCCCCTCCCCTCCCTCGGGCCATTCTTCATCAGACGCACCACCTTCTCACGCGCCTCTGCCCATCCCATCGCCGCCGGTCTTCCCTCCCCTCCCTTCAGACCACTGACAATGTTGCCCTTCCTCTTTTCAGCCATGCCGCCAAATGATTCATCTGCGATGGGCGACTCGACAACCGGCCCTTCGTCAGCCTCGCTCCCCCCTTCGGATAAAAGCTCCCCCGGAACCGGACCAGTCGCCTCTCCAAGTGGCGGTCTATCTTCCAAGCGCAAGGCTCCTGCCAAGTCAGCTGCTCGGTCCTCGGGTTCCTCGCCGATGTCCGAGCCGGCTTCCCCTCCCGCCAAGGGGTCTCCTCAAAGCACCCCCATCACCAAGGGCAATGGCACTACCGAGCAGAGAGCGGCCCCAGCAGCGACCTCCAAGCGCAAGGCAACCGCTCCAAGTGCTGGTACTCCTTCAAAGGCTGATGAGATGGCCGATTCGTCGGCGGACCTCCTCCTGTCTCCCACGCGGCCCTCCTCCTCCTCCAGCCAATCGGATGACATGTTGCTTGATGAGGCTGGGACCGGAAGCGGGACCGAAGCCAGTGCCGAGGAAAAGGCACCGGCCTCAGATACGGCAACCACCGCTGCCGCCGCCGCCGCCGCCGCCGCCTCCTCCAAATCCGCCCCAGGGACCGCCGGATCCAAGAAGCCCAACCGCTCGGCTGCGTGGCCCCAGTTGTCCATCAATCTCCCGGCCAGCTCCAAGTCGCTGGGGAACTTCATGCTCCTGCAGCCGAGCGGCGGCCTGGCTCCCGGTGGTGGCCTAGCCAACGGGACATCTCCTTCATTGGCCTCAGGCATCGGCACCCCCTCCTTCCTGAGCCAAACTCCGAGCGACTTTTCCCTCATGGCGGATTTGCTGCCACCCATGTCGCCGATGGGCGGTCCCGGTGCGCGGTCGACCCTGCTCATTCCCAACAGTGCCAACCTCGGTGGCGGGGGGTCGTCCGGCATCCTGCACCATCAGCACCTGCACCACCTGCACCTCCCGGGAACCGGCGGTGTCGGCGGGGGTGGGCATTCCGGCCTGTCTACTCCATCCCTGCTGGCTGGCAGTGGCATGGGTAGCGGTACCGGCAACTTGAATTCCGACACGGCCGCCGCTTTGCCTGCTTCGCCGATGGACGCGCAGTTCTTCCTGAACTACTCACAACCCGGCGGTGGACTGTCCAGCCCCGGGATCGTCGGGTCGCCGATGTCCGGCTTCGGTGGCGTCGCTATGGCCCTAAGTGTGGGTGCCAACAGTCCTGGCTTGATGCTTTCAAGTGGCACAGGCGCCAATGGGGTCCATCCACCAGGAACGCCCTCGCATTTGGGGATGTTTGCCTTCTCGACTGGCACTGGCACGGGTGCCGCCCATCTATCTTCCCTGAGCCCGGGCTTTCATCATCACGCGGTCGTCGGGACCGGCCTTGATAGTGTCGACATGATGGAGACTCCCGGGGACTTTGCCGAGCCGGCGGCCACCTCCTAGAGGCGTGGTATTCGGCCGTGCCAGGCAGTTCACTGCATTAGGCCAGCACCATTGTCAGCCTCAACTGGAGCCACCTTCCCGGCCCTCTGCCTCCATCCTTCCCCATCTTCCACTCCTGGCGCCCGACAGCCAGGCGCTGCCCTTGTGTTCACTCCCTCCCTCTGCTTCTCTCCTTCACTGTCTTCGCCTCTTTCTCCCTTCCCTTCCCCCCTTTCCTCCCCCCCCCTCCCTCCTCCCTGACACGCGTATGTGCATGTGGAGTCCCGTCTTCAGTTTTTATCGCACTTTGCCCGGGTCCTGCCTCCACGCTCACCGCTGTGTCTCTGTCCCTGTCTCTGCCTCTCGCTCTCCCGCTCTCTGTTAGACTTTCTCTTTGTACCTTTCCCCCTCCCTCCTCGAAAATGGATCTGCACATGGAATAGAATCCCCACTCTGCTGATTGAGGAAAGGCGTTTGCCGGTTGCTTTGCTTTGCTTTGCTTTGTTTTCCCCACCCTCACAGTGCCTCCCCTTTTGCTGCATGTCTTCCTTTTACTGGATGATGTACCAAAAATACTCCCAGGCGGATGTATGCATATGTGTGTGAGGGGGGGGGGCGGAGGACAGGTGGGGCAGTGGGTCTGATACATATATATATATATATGCTTTTTCTGGAATTAGAAAGGGCAAAGAACACTCGACTGACACACTGGCGAAGAGGGAGGGAGGGAGGGAGAGAGGGACCACGCGCTATGACTGAGTCACCGACATCTGATGCATCCGCAGACGGTTGGTGGTTGCCCCCAGGTAAGTCGGCTCTCCTGCTCCATCTGCCGCTAATGCGATGGGCATGTCAGAAAAGATGTCACGAAGGGCGCGGCACCGTGCAGAAAGATGGAGCACGCACCGCGCTCGAAGATCATGTCTGTTCCGAGTGAATGGACGAAGGAGCCCTGAAACAGCTGCGAGGGCCCCTGGACGTGTGGAGCCAGGTCAGCCGAGGTGGCGGCAGCAGCAGCTGATGCGTCAGACGCCGACGGAGGGGCTGACATCTCGGTGAATTGAAAAAGAGGCTCCCCCGTTTCGAGGCCCTTCGAATGGCGTCAGCAATCCGGCATCTGCATCACAGATGCCCTGCAGCAGGGCATGCGGCTGGGAAAGGGGGGAAAATGCAGAGAGCACAACGCACCGACACAGAGACCACCGTGTGCGGCGACAGGAGAAATGATGGGGACTGGCCACCAAAGTCGCACATAAAAACTTGCGACTCGGGAAGCGGCTCCGACGAGATGACTTCAACTGTTTCGTAGTACTCATACTCGATGGAGTCATCGACGCCATTTCGGGTGGAGGGTGAGGCGCCGCTTCGGGGCATGACGCTATTTGGCTTAAGGAACAGGTGAAGGGAGGCCAAAGAGGAGGGAGGGTCAGGGAGAGGGGCGGGGGGGGGGGGAAGGAGTCTAGCTGTATTCGCGGTGAAGAAAACAAGCCCCTCTTGTGAGGCCGCCCCAAGAACCAGAGCAGGGTAGATGCCCTCCGTCTTCTCGGGGCACCTGCCCGATCCCAGCCTCTCCCGAGGCGGGGGGGAGGGGGAACAAGAGAGAAGGATGGTGCCGTTCTCGCCCTGGGGACAGAACGGCCAAGTTCATTTGTCCACGCTAAATGCAAGCCGGGAGGATCGCGGTTACAAGTCCCCGCGTCTCCGATCGATCTGGCGGCGATGTGTATGTGTATCATGTGATCCGCGGAATGCGCAAAGCATCTCCCGACTGAACGTACCCATCTGGCCGCCTCTTGGGTGCTGGCTCAGGCCTTTCCTGGCGCGAGGGGGCGACATCGACTCGCGTCCGGGGGAGGCGAAAAAGGGCCGCCAAAGCATCTGCATTCGCGGCACGAACAAGGCACCCGCCCCCTACCCGCCTGCCCGCCTGCCCGCCTACCCGCCTACGCATTGTCCACTACATCCACTCCTCACCGCATCCACAAACCCCCACCCACAATTGCCTGCTGCCTCTCCGTGCTCGCCACGCTCCTTTTCTTTCCTTCCCTCTTTTATTTCAAACATGGGTGTCCGGGCTATGTTTTCGCGGAAAGTCCGCCACATGCGGCTCTGGCATCCGGTCACTATGCTTTGTGGTCTGGTTGCAATCATGAACATTGGTGTCCCCTTCAAATACCCCATCTCTCGGTACCTGGGAGGGTCTTACCTGGACTACTATCTTTTTGTGCGTCGGCTTCCCTTCTCCGCCTCTGGCGCCCGAAAGCCATGGCCTACACACTGACCAGTGTTCCCCGTTTGATTGTTTCCCCTCCTCCCCCCCCCCCTCCCCCCTTCTTGTGCTTTTTCCTCTCCGCTTTAGAACCGGCCGACGGATGGCGGCTTCCACGACCCGTGGCCATATCCATATGACCAGGAGGCCGTACTGCACCATCGGAAGCGCATGGCCGAGAGTCTCAGTGCCTCCATCCGACAGAATGATCTCAGTGAAGTCCGTGCGTTTCCAGGCTCCTCTCGTGGCGTCCTCCCCATCGATCTCTTGTATGCATCCTTCCTTGTGGGCAAATGCTAATCTGCCCTTCGTCGCCCATGCAGAGAAGCTCACGCTTCGGTCCCAACAAATGTGGACCGAGTTCCGGGACTCTGTGGCCCAGCAGTTCGTGGAGAATGGTGACTTCGCCAGTCCGGAGGAGGCCCTCACATACACCAGTCCCCACTGGTCTGATATCATCAGTCTCTTCTGAGGGATATCACCCCCACACGAGTGCACAAGAGGCGCGCGTGTGCAGACGCATGTGCGCCTATCTGTGCGCTCCCCCCACAAATAGACTTCATAAATATGCCCTGATGTGTGTGTGTGTGTGTGTGCGTGTGTGTGTATGCACGCGCTTGGTGTCCAGAGAGCTATTGCTGTTGTCTGGCTGCGGCCTCATGCACGTGTGTTGAATGTAGACTCATGCATGCGAGCGGCTTCGGTGTCGGCGATTGGCCCGGGAGCGACGCCACCACCGACCGAAAAGTGGCCAGCCGATCGCATCCCAGGGATTGGGTGTCGAACACGACTCGGAAAGCGTTGGCAAGTGCCACCCACTCCCGGCACACGTTTCTGCCAGGCTCCTTGTTGCACGGGGTGTGGGCGAGGCGGCACCGAGGGGCCCTGCAGACAAGCACATGGGGAAGCGCATGTTTCTCGCAAATTGTCCTTTGCCCACTTCAAATCGACCCCTGAAATTGGCTCTCCCACGATTTCCTGTTCTTCGCTCCTCTCTCTCTCTCTCCTCCTTTCCCTCTTCCTCCCCTTCTTCGTCTACCTGCCGTCATCTCCCCATAGCGCGCGCATCCTCTCTCTCCGCCTCTCTCGACGTATCTCCATCCTCCGGAATAGCCAATCCGTGACACATGTCAAGGTCCGCCATACCACCGCTGGCCACGCCGCCGCCGCTGCCCCCGCGGCCGGTTACCGCCACGGCCACCCTTCCCACCCCTCCCGATGTCAACAGCCCTGAGTACATCCCTCTGGAGGAGTTCCTGCTCGAGCTGGAGCCCCCCCCAGCGCCGGAGCCCCCGCGCTTTGGGGCCACCTCGCTTCCCCTGCAGGTGCTGGCCTACCGCCAGTGGCAGAGCCACCTGCAGCAAAAAACCTTCCGGCCCAGCTACCCAGCTCATTCACTGCGCGCACACATGGCCCACTCGGTGCGCCTGGTGGAGTTCCCCCGCCCGGCTACCGGGGGCGCCTGGCCGACCGAGCTAAATTGGACCGGCTCACTGCTGTCTTCGGGATCTGAGGCGTTCCAACGGAGTCAGGACTCTTCGCTGCCGGTCCCAGTGGCACCGCACCGCCTGGCAACCGATGCCCCCGCTTGCATCCACCTTCCGCGGGATCCCTTTTCGGTTGATGTCCTCCAAAGTGGCGAGGCGGTGGACTGCTTCGGATACCAAGCGCGTAGCCTGCTAAACACGCGGGGGGGCTTGCTGAACCCCGGGCATTTGACCGTTGGCTTTGCCCTGCATCCGGCCCCTGGACATCGTGCCTACACGGATTTCGAACTCCCGGTCCCCGGGCTGTCGTACTTCCAGCCGCAAGCGGCATTTGCGGCGATTGGCCGCGGGTGTGGCCGTCTATCTTCCCGAGTTTGGGCATACATGACATCCAAGCCCAACCCGGTGGCCACGGCCAATGTGTACATGGTCCCGGGGCAGGTGGTAGCCGGCACCGGCATTGCGAACACCAGTGTCCCCGTCATCCACACGGTGACCACCACGGCCATGCTCCCCGAGCCGGAGGGCAGCAAGGAGGGGTCTCGTGTGCGTGAGCTCCCTCCCCCAGGGACCTCCTTTGTCGCTCGACCGGTGGAAGCTGGCTTGACGTATGTTCAAGGTCCGCTCTTTGGTGCGGCATCGGTCAACATCAGCCCCGGAGCCATGACCACCGGTTTGGCTCCGGGCCGGCCCACCGGCAGCATCGCCTTTCGCATGGTGCATGGCTATGGAGCCGAAGAGGACCCGGTGACAGTGAGGCTCTTCTGCAAGGCGATCCCCGGGCCTGGTACGCTCTGTTGCCCTTTTTTTTTCTCTTCCCGTCCCTCGCTCACAATGTCAGCGTCCTCATTCCGGTCGGCCCCCCTCCCCCTCCCCCCCCCCCGTGCCATGTTGGAAAATAATTGCCCTGGATGACAGAGCCCGAGACTTCGGCCCTGCTGTCAACTCGCCTGCGTCTGCTGCCAAACATTTCGACCAGCCTCGCGGTTGACCTTCTCCGGAAGAATGGCACCATGGACTTGTGCGGGCATGTGGGCGACATCTTTAGTGTAGCGGCTCGAGTGAACCGGAGCTTCTCTTCGGGCGCCAGCAGTGAGGGGATTCCCTTTTCCCTGGGGTTCCGGTACCTGCGGGCGTCGACCCCGCCCGTGCCGGTGGCCGCCCGGTCCCGGCGGGGCATGCCATCTGGTGAAACGCCAGCCTCCGAGCCGCCACTCATTTATGAGCTCTCGGCCCGCCTGGCTCCCATGGAGCCGGCTCTGGAGGTCACCCTGTTCCAGGAAATGCAGACCGGTCGCGGCCGGCTGCTGTCCTTTGGAGGAATGCTTCGCTTCGCTGGGGCCGAGATCCCGGCCTCCGTTTCCTCGTCGGACTCGGCCCATGCGGGTGGGGACAATGCCGCGCTCGCGGCACTCGGCCGGCATCGGCATCCCCGGTCGCCAGGGGCTTCCGAAGGGGTCTTCCGTGCAAGCGGCTCCTCCACGCTGGTGGACTCCTTCGACCATTGGGTGGCCGAAACCCGCCGGGAGGGCGGCCTGCAGTTTGCCGTCGCCGGGCGCTGGCAGGCCACCCGATCGACCACCCTCTCCGGCCAGGTGGACCTGCATGGGCGCTTTGCATCGCGTCTGACCTGGGTGCTGCCCTTCCAATCGGTGGCGCATGTTGGTTTGTCGGCCGGCTGGTGCGGGCAGGTCCTCTCCTCGAGTGATGGGGCCGAGCAATTCCCCCGTGGGATCGGCCTGGGATTGACGATCAACCAATTGTGAGGGGCCCCTCTCTCTCTCTCTCTCCCTCTCTCTCCCTCTCCCGCGCGTCGGCCTTGGCAATGTACCAGGGAGGGAGCCGAGGAAAGAAATAAATAAAAGCACCACCGTTCGAGCCGTGATGTGGGGGGGATCCTTCTTTCACCATTCCCCCGACGTGTGCCCCCCTCTTCGGCGTCCCGCCCCTCTTTCGATCAAGGGCCACAAGGCTCGACCAGATTGCTGTAGCAGGGTTCACACGGGTTAAGCCTAAGTCAAGTGAGTGAGGCTTGACGAAGGGCACCAGTGTGATCTGCCACCTGGTTAGTAACCTCTTGGCATGAAGGAGGGGACATACCAACCAGCGGTTCACGGTCGTCTGTTACCAGATGAGTCAGTAACTCGGCTTGAGACGAGTTAGTGGCAAGCGAAAATAGAAAGGAACTCGAATGTTAAAAAGGGTTCGAGAGGAAGCCTTAGAACAGGTGTTCGTCGGCCTAACTGGTGCTTCGGCTATACTTCCGTATACTCTTCGACACACAGCTGCTAAGGCTTTCGCTCTCAGGAGGCTCTCAACGAGAGTCCCCCTTTTTGACCTTTGGGCTCGGTCAGGGGTTGGAACTGAGAACCCCGCGGCTGGGCCCGCCCACCCGCGTATCTCCGTCCTCGGTCGAGCGTTTATGCCGCTCGGCCTCGGCGGCCAC